ACAGAGACAGCTGTCAGAGCTGCATAGTAAGATAAACCCTGGATGATTCCACCACCACTTTTAAAAGTAGGAGGAACCCTGGCCATCTTGCTGTCATTTGTGCCATTACATCAAACACATTCTGTGCTCATTTCTCACAAGAATCTATCTGTACATTAAAATATTTCTATAAGTAGATACATATTACATGAACTTAAAATGATATTTATAAATACTTCACCAAACCAGAACTTAATTAACTATTATCTTCAAAGTAATCACTCAGGAAGCTTATAGTATTACTCCTTCATTACTTACCTCATTTTACTCAAGAAATTTTCTGTGCCTATGTTGCAATTACTTTATTATGGAAATAAAGATATTTTGCACCAAAAATTATAGTGTCTAATTGCTCATTTTATTCATCAAACAAATGAGTAAAATGATTTCCTCAAAATCAAATCTGGCCTCCAAAAAGACTCGGCTACACTGAACAGTCTGAAAAGGAAATTAAGAAAACCATTTACAATAGAATAAAAAAAAAAGAATGTATTTAGGAATAAACATAACCAAGGAGGCAACAGACGTGTACACTACCCAACACTGCTGAAATTAAAGAAGGTAAACTAAATGCAAAGATCTCTCATGTTCATGAATTAGAAGACAACACTGTTAAGATGTCAATACTACCCAGAGCAATCTACAATTCAAAGCCATCCTTATCAAAATCAGAACAGAAAAACCCATCCTAAAAGTGACATGGAATCTCAAGGGACCCCAACCTTCCAAAACAATCCTGAAAAAGAACAACAAAGTCGGAGAGCTCACCCATCCTGATTTCAAAACTCGCTACAAAGCCACAGTAATGAAAACATTGCTCTGCTGCCACAAGGACAGACAGACAGACAGAGAGCCCAGAATTAAATCTTCACATATATGGTCAACTGAGTTTCGACAAAAGTGCCAAGACCATTCAATGGAGAAAAGACCATCTTTTCAACAAATGGTACTGGGAATGAATGACGTTAGGCCCTTTCCTTACACTATATACAAAAATCAGCCCCAAATGACTCAAAGACCTAAATGTTAGAGCTAAAACCATAAGACTGTTAGAAGAAAACACAGAGAGGAAGCTTCAGTATTAGATTTGGCAATGATTTCTTGGATATGACACCAAAACATGGCAACAAAGAAAAAATAGATAAAACAGACTTTATCAATTAAAAACTTATTTAGATCAAAGAATGCTATCAAGAGAGTGAAAAGGCAAGCCACAGAAGCAATGTTTTCTTAGGTCAGTCTGCCAAGGCAAAAGAAATAAAAGCAAAAATAAACAGATGGGACCTAATCAAACATACGAGCTTTCGCACAGCAAAGGAAATTATAAACAAAACAAAAAGACAACCTATGGACTGGGAGAAAATATTTGCAAATGGTGGAACTGACAGGGTGTTTAA